CAGAAGTCATGCTTATTTATCACATTCTGAATTAAAACCAAAGTAATTTAACAGCTTGTTTTTTTTAACATCAACTTGTTATCTTCATATTACTTTAATATATTCCCTAATTAGTGTTTTCTGTGAAGAAGGATGGATGATCTTGCTTCTGTAGCAACGAACTGGGATTCAGGAGACCACATTTTGGTTCCCAGCCCTGGAATAGGTCTTCTGTTGTCTTTCAGCTTTGCCAAACATCGTGACTTGAAACAATCTCGCAAAATTCAGTCTTATCCCAAAACTGCTGCTTTAAGAGTGAAGCAGTTAATAGCTTTAAGATGAAAGTTTCTGGCCTTTTCAGTGGCTGATCAAGCTAAAAAATATAAAATACCAAAAGGCAACAAAGACCTAAAGAAATCATAAGCTTCAAGCTAATTTTTTTTTTAGTCAAAACCATTGAGATTTGGAAAGGAAGAACAGGAGAGGAGATTTAACTTGCCTTCTTGTAATCTTTGAAAGTTAGGTCTTGCACAGATAGTTTAACCTGTGTCTTAGTTCTGCCTGATGAAAAAAGCCATTAATACCTTTCTTCGACAAGATGTATACAAAATAGGTGTATCGGAACAAAAACTTGCCTTCTGTGTATTTAACAGGCTGGCACAGGGAGCACTGATATTGTGCCACTTATATACTGTTAAACTGTTCCTCGGAAACACAGTCTTCATTTGGAAGCACTAAGGAAAGAATTTCACAGAACTTGGTGGTGGCGGGGGGAGGCTTCCTATAGTCTATAATCCCTTTTCAAATGATTCTTAATGTAGTGATTCCTTTGTTTTCTAGTGGTTTTTTTTAATCATAGAATGCTAAGTAAAAATTGCTTGAGCATTGTTGAAGTGCTTGTCGAAGCCCCTGGTCCTTTGGAGAAGAGTAAGCTGTTGTGGCTACCTCCATCCTTTCTTGTTTGAAGAATTTCAGTATTGTGATAGATAAGACTTTTTTTCTGAGTAGCTTCCTAAGCCATATGAATGGTTAATATTGTTTAAGTAAGTTGTTTATTGTTCTTTGGTATATGCTGTTTTAGCTATTTAGACTGAGAAATGCCCATATCACCATGTTTTAAGTTTCCTGCATGTGTAGGTTGAACAATGGTTTGAATAGAATGATAGCTTCATTAGAAAGCAAACAAACAAAAAAACCCCCAATCAACACCCCCCAACCTTGATAATTCAATATTTAATGGATTTCACTAGGTAAATGGGACAGATGCAATTCTGAAATATTCTAATGGCTGTGTTCTAGAAAATATATTCAGTTCCACAGTCTCTCTTGTCAAATCTTTTAGTAACAAGCTCTGTTTCTGAAGTGCCACTTCATTGACTTGTAATGCTCTTAACTGAATAATGCTGCTCTTGTTGCTGGGTTTAAATGTAAGTCTCAAATTCCAGTGCATATCTGTGTTTTTCAGTGAGGTCAGTGGGAGTTGAAGGACAGAATTTGGGCCTGTGGGACTTAGTAGGGTTTCTTAAAGAGTTAATAAACTGATAAAATACTCATTTATATATGGTGAATACAAATACAAAGATTTTAATGTGTTTGTATAGTTATAAAAAAAAAAAAAAACAACCAAACCCACTCTTCCCTATTCACCCATCCCATGATAATGATTTTCTATTCTAATGAGCATAGTTGAGATATTGTTCTGCATATTGGCAGGAGGTTCTATCAGTTTGCAAAGTAATGTCTTTAAATGATTTTTTTAATGAGTTTAATGAAATTCTTTCTCCACAGTAGATGCTTGATGCTGAAATTCTTTGCAGCTGTGGATTTTCATCATGTTTAGATTTGTAAATACCTGTTATGCCAGTTTGTTTGCAAAACAGCTACTGTTTGCTGGTAGAATTAAAATAGGGGTATGATTTTGTAGAAGGAGTACTGTTTATGCTGATCTGATAGGACTTTCGTTATGTGGTTTCACTTACTGTAGCCTGTATTTATCTTCCAGGCTAGTATTCTGTCTCAAAATTTTATTCTTAAATATAAAATGTATCTAAATACTGTTCATTGAAACCTCAGCACTAAATTACTTGGAAGCTGTTCTGCATAAATCCCTTGAGCAGTGATTATCAAGTGAATGTGTTGTGGCTGTGTGTATGGCTACAAAAAAACTCTTGGCTGTTGTGGTTTTGACAGTTGAAATATAAATGAATAATAAGAATTTGGTTTTCGTAGTGGCTGTACTGGAGGATTCACGTTTCAGTTTTAGTCGAGATGCGGAAATCATTATTATAAGAGATAATACAATTTTAATAGATACATAAGCAACAGCCAGCTTGTAGTAATCATCTTTCCGAGCATCAGAAAGTGCTGGGTTTTGTTCAGGTTGTTTGAGGAGCACTGAGCCTCTTTAAAGCTTTGAGAAAAATGCAGAGAATATTAACATTGTTCAAGGGAGCTCTTCAGCAAGCAGGCTGTCTTTCCCCCCCCCTGCACTATGTCAAAGCTATTCT